TCATTAATGAATCTGAGAATCAGCTATTATAAAGAATGACTATATCCATCTACCTATTTCTTGTCAAGTGGATCATGCATAGTTTCTTTTAAAAATTATTCACATTTTTCATAAATATAACCTTTACAAAACTTTTTGGTAACATCTAAATAATTTAATTGTGATTRAGAAATAAAAGTTAGCAGATCGCTTGTGTGACTGAGTAATTATTTTTTTAGCCAATGTTCTTCAGCATAATTTTCCTGAGCTTGTAAATGGGCAAACAATAAAAATAAATGAAATTCTCCTAAAAGACTTTACTATGCACATATTTAACTTAGACTTTATAAACTTTTATTTACATGTAAGTAAATCTTCATTTATGCATATGGCACTATATGTTAGACATATTGTGATAGTATTTACATCCTTTTTTTAAAGTAGTCGTTGAAGTGCCTATATCCCATATCATGATCTTCCAATTTGTACCCAACACTTTTTTGTTATATCCACAACTTTTTATTTGTTTGATTGATACCAGTATGACGATCAATGCAAAAAATACTTCATCTACAATTATAATTTATATCAATTTGTCAAACTTGAGGTAATATAGTGTGTATACTTGAATGGTTTAATTCAATATTAATCCTATTTTTTATTTTTTCGTACAAAATTGTTGAAATAAGTAATTTGTTTTAAATAATTTATAGCTATATGATAAACTAAATTATATTTAAATTCTGATTTGAATTTCATATTTCTATACTGGACAATGGTCATCGAGTGTGCCAGGATAATATAACATACTTGTGGACAATACACCGTAACACGCTTTTACATAAATTATGTAATATAAATGTTTAAATTTTAAATACTTAAATTAGGTACCAATATATGATTACATGCCTAGCTAGGTATTATTTTTGTAATAAATAGGTATTCAAATTTATTTTAGTAAAACATTTTATCCCTCAGTTTACGTGTTAAGGTATATATAATTTTGGTAACATATTTTGCATTTATGATATTAATAAGTTTTTATAATTTAATGAAATTTGTAAAGAGGGGGGTTCACAGCCCGTCTTGTAAGTTAAAGGTTAGTTATAGTTAGTTTAGGTTTATTTTTCAAGTACTTATATGAACTTGAGAGATAAGACAAAATTGTTGAGAGTATTTTTGTCGTGGGGAAAACTAGCTTGGCGTGTTGCATTATTATAGTTCACGAACATGAGGTAGTGTTGAATGAGAGTTTAGTATAGTAACTTTGAAATGTGGTTGAATTCCAAGCAGCTGATTGGATAGATTTTGAACGGCATCGTAGGTATCGTTCGGTGTATTTAGCCAAGTAGTTAGGTTTATTTTTTTGTTCTATTATTTTACGAAACTTAACTCAGTTCGAATATAGAACTATGTTTTAGACATGTTTTACTGGACGTGAAGAGGAAAGAGCATCCAAAGAAACGACTGGAGTATGGTCAGAACTTGGGTGTAATATTGTAGCACAATTTTTGTAAAGTTATTAAAGTTGGGATTGTTGTCACGAAAATTTTTAAAATATCTGGACGCTTTCTGGTAGAAGTTTATAGCCAATAGGGGTCGTATTTGGGGGTTCAGGATAGTGAGATAAGGACATAAGGCTGCTGTTAATTGTTTGAAATTAAGAGCGACGAACGCCCATTTGGATTTGTTGTGTGGCAGCCCCAATATCGGTTTTTGACATTTAGATCACCACCTAAAGAATTGATAAAGGACTCAAATAATTTATTTAATTTTGTATATGTTATTTTATATTTAAAAGGACAATACACAGCTGCAATGGTGATTAGCACTTGGATTAGGTTAACCGTTAATATTGTCGCTGCTAGCAGAAGGTCATTATTATTTACAGAAACTGGATAAATATTGGAGCGATGATCTGATAATTATTACGACACCACCGTGGGTGATATTATTGGGACGGCGTGAAGAAAATGAGAAYGAACATTTCGTATTGGCAATTGGATGTAAAATGTATTCCGAAGATATCAAATGTTATATCGATTCYTTTTTCAATTTATAATCGTAATTAATTCATATTCGTGGTTGGTTAAACCGTTGGGATTCCAAAGTACAGTATGTCCTTAGCTACACAGGATTGTAGGTGGTAAATGTACTTTTGGCGAGGACAGTGATGAAGTGTAATAGTAAAAGATTATACAACGCTTTAAATTMTGTTTGAAAWTTGGTCGGAAAAGAGTAATCTGAGATTTTGGCCTGATGCAATGTWATAAACGGGGAGTTTATAATTCGTTTTTGAATTAAACGAAGAATAATCAATAAAAGACAATCAATTTTGTCAAAAACTGGTTTCGCGTAAAAATTCCAATCAATCTATAATGTTAATAACCCAATTATTAAAAAAGCAATGGTATATTTTTTTAATCCTCCTTAGTGTTAGCTGGTTAGACTAGATTCACTTTTTACGGAAAAGGCATTAAAAGTTGATAAAGTTGCAAAACGTGATGAACTGATGATACGAAAATAAAAATAAATTTTATCTAAATTAAATAATTAAAACATTTACTTTTATATGAGTAGATCACGAATTGAGGTAGGTTTTTTTTTTAAATAAAATAATGTTAAATGAAAATTTACAATCTATAATATAATATGTATATGTTTGTTTTAATCTATAATAAATAACACTGAATACCTCAAAGCTTATAAGAACATATTAATATAATAATATGACATTTTTCATATTATTAAAATATATTTCCATAAAACCCGTATACAAGGGGGTAGTGGTTAGGGGTTTAACTCCCCTCCCCACCCAAAATTAAAATAAGTTATATATTTATAATATAACAAAGGCTAACAACACACTTTATGTATATTATTGTACAACTAAATTTATTAAAATATTAAATATATTTTAACCTCCCCCGAAAATTGATCACGGATACATGCTTGATTTCCACGTAGTTTGCGGTAGTGATATTTTAAAAAATATTTTTCTGGTACAGTTGAAAATCATTGAAAAAAAAAACAAAAATGTATCGCTTACAATTTATAAACATGCATTATATACCTAGTGCTTTTACTATTTATTTTGTATTATCGTAATCAATTATTTTACTTTTTTGAATGGCGAGTTAATATTATTTCATTTTTAACTTCGTATTCTCTTGCAGAATATGTGCTGAGAATTTCAACTAAAATCGAGTTTAGAACAAGTGTGATGTGGTCAAGTACTKAACACTAGAAACTAGAATAATTGAAGCTGTGGATTGACATTTTGCGAGGTATCACTGCTGCCCTACAATATCGTATATTTTGATATCACCTAACTCCTATCAGATTTGTTGGTGAGTACTTAGGTAGCTACTGGTACTACACTACTACACTGCAACAGTTATACGGTTCAGTAGGAACTTTTCGTAAACGTATATTTTTTGTACATAAATATTTAATCATTAAACAGTAATAATATTATAGTAATAAATACACTTTCTGTATACAAGGGGTCATAAGTCTTGTTATTTACTAACCATTATAGAATAAAGGAAAATGTAGTTGGACTTAAATCATTTATTGTGTTGGATTCCAGCCATCGTTCAGATCTGAACATATGTTACCATTTGTTTTCTGTATAGAAATTATACTCCAAAKTTTGGAAAATGGATTTAAAACAATTATTTTTGACACGATCACATGATGGGTACCTAGGCAAGGAGGATAATGTAAGTAATTTCATGTATTATGTGTGATTATTATACTTTTTGTTTTGTATCATAAAATAGAATAAAGTAGTTGTATACAAGTTGTTGTACAATAGAATAGGTAATAGGTATATTACCATTACCTAATTGATTTATGAAACTTATTTTTTAAATGTATACTTTTTGAGTTAATTTTGTAATTTTTTTAATTATTATTTGTTCAGGAATTTTTGCACTTAAATTAATTTAACATCATTAAATTTATATTATTTTTGAATACTTAGTTATGTTATGTTTAGCAGGTCCGAATTGAAACAGCTCTAGAAACTGAAGACGAAGAAGACAATGATCTTATTAATGAAGAATTGAAAAATGCATTAGCTTTAGATAATTTGAAAGAATGGGGCAACAACATTAAACTCACCAAAGGAAAACCATTTTCTGGTTTGACTCCTTCTATGTGGCCAGAGGATATTGTTGTTGGCTATACTCAATATGACAATACATCTCCACCAAGTCATCAATGGTAACTCTTCATCAGTTATATAAACTTAAAATAACTACATGAGAAAATTTAAAAGAGAATTATTATTTAAGTTCAATTACCTAGTTCATATTTATCATTTCACTTAATAAATTTATGTTACTAAATGTATTGAAATAATAGTTATATTATTAGTTAAATAACCCGAAATATAAAAATCAAATAACTTCAGTAATATTTATTTAAATACCAAACTTATGGTTGTCTTTAAAAAAAGATAAATTGTCTCACAGGTCACAGCTCAAATTTTAATTTCTGAGCGTAGAAATGGGTATTTTGATTTTATAATGAATCACCTTTTTTCGGTCTTTCATCAACTTCTTGGAAGTATAAATATTTTGATTTTCAACTTAGTGTGGTTTCTAATAGTAAATTTGTTCTTGTTAGTATTTTTTTTTTTATGGGGAGGGGGAGAAAGTCCAAAGTTCCAAATATTGTTTCTAATTACCTGATAAAACAAAATAAAATTAATGACCAACTGGTTAATTGATAAAATCAATTTTGTATTTTGGTGTAGTTCAAAAACTAATAACTTTTTATATTTGAAATTTTCATCGGTGGACGAAGCTGTGACGGGTCAGCTAGTTTTTTTTTTTTTTGAATGATACATTTTTGAACAGTTTTTGAGCTATTGACAGATGTTTTTAATTTCTATTATAAAATATTTATAATATGTATTAAATATGTTAATACATTTTAAGGTTTGATGAATTTGGTTTTCGTGTTGAAAATCACAATGATTTTTCAAAGGAATGCATATTAGCAGATGATATATACGAAGATCCTCAACACAGGTACTACTTACTAAACCAATATATTATATATAATTCAACCATGGTCTCTATAGATGTATTTTAGCTATTGAGAGTTAGCCATTGGTTCTTTTGTGATTTTAAAATTAAAAATCGGTACTTTTCAATATATCATTTTGTTGTAATTCGAAATATAATTAAAGAATTACAATTTTAGATATCAACACTGACCATTGTATATTTGCCCTATTATATCCATTTCAAAGGTGTTCAATCTCAATTCTGCCGGTTTTCTCAAGGTCTATCTGGCCTTGTCTCAGAGCCATATAGGATGACAGACCATATTAATGTCATATATATTTTAAATTTTGAAGTATGGTTCTGGATCTTAAGAGAATTGTTGCAACTCCAAGATAGCATTTATTTTCCATTTGTATTTTATTTTTTGATAACTGTTCTTAGTTAATTGTCTTGGATTAAGAGATATCTTCTAGTTACATTATAGTAAATTTTAATAATTATCAAATAATTTTAATTTTACAATGTTTTAACAGAAACCAATGGATCACCTACTTTGAAAATGTGTACATAAAAGAATTGTCAGAAAAAGAAAAAATAACTTTGAAACCTCATTCTGAAACATTACGGTCAATGGTTCGTCAAGGTATACCGCATTCACTTAGACCTCAGCTATGGATGAGATTTTCTGGTATTAAACATTGTTGTATGTTCAGTTGATGTACTCACTATTGTTTTCTCCGTCGTACTAACACTTAACATTCAAAAATTTTCATGATATGAATCCAGAGCCACGCTTAGATTTTTATGATATTTTAATTTTGAAATTTAAATAAATTTAAAATTTAAAAATTGTTGAATTGTCAACTCAATCTAAAAATAACAGAGTAAAATAAATTCTTCTGATTGCAAAATTATTGTTATGTTTTAATGAGGCGGAAAAAATCATATGGTACAATCTTCTCTTAAAATCTCTATTTTAATTCATACCTAATACACTGTTGTTTTACAATTTAGGGGCGTATTTGAAAAAACAATCTCATTCTGTCAGTTACAAAGAGATAGTAAGATCATCTAATAATGATACTTTGGTTTCATCAAAACAAATTGAAAAAGATCTTTTGCGTACCATGCCTAGTCATGTTTGTTTTAATAATCTCCAGAGTACTGGAATCCCTAGATTACGAAGAGTATTACGATCACTAGCCTGGCTTTATCCTGATATTGGGTAATTTATACCAATTCAGTTAAACAAAATGTATATAATGTGTCCTAGGCATTGACTGGTGAGCGTCATTGAAATATACCAAATAATATTCCAAAAACTCTTAAAAGCGCTCTACCATCATTCCCATAGTACAGCTTTCAAATCTGAAACTTTTTTGAAGAAGTCAAATTTCTTTATGATTTTGTTGTTTTTTCAAAAAACATTTCACGATCAACTACAATAAAATAAAAATTTTCTAAAAACTTAGTGCTCCCTTTTATAAGATTTTTTAGGATAATTTTAGTAATATTCTCATAAGACGCCAGCCGTTACTACTCACATTCTTCTAGGACCCATTGTCTAGTATTAACAAATGATAATGTTTAGTTATTGCCAAGGAACCAGTATGATTGTGGCATCGCTCTTACTTATACTTGAAGAGGAAGAATCGTTTTGGGTAATGTGTGCTATTGTTGAAGATTTATTGMCTGCATTATACTATACTACAACTTTAATAGGTATCATATTGAAACAATATATTAATGAATTTTTAATTTATAAATCGTAATGTTTGTCTTATTGAAGGTGTGAAAGCAGATCAACAAGTGTTACAAACTGTTTTAGGAAATTGTTTACCAGGAATTTGTCAACTTTTGCGATTACATGACATAGAATTGAGTTTAATCACAGTTAACTGGTTTTTGACATTGTTTTCTAATGTTGTCAACTTCAAAGTATTATTAAGAATTTGGGATTTATTATTCTTTGAGGGGTCGATTGTTCTGTTCCAAATTACAATTGGGCTTTTAAAATCTAAAGGTAAATGTAATTTTTAGATGACTTGTATTTGAATGCATTTGTTATCTAATTTATTAAATGGTTTTAAAATACATACTATTCTTACAAATTTTTTTCATTTTATGGTTCCTTTTAGCTTTTACTATGTATAAACATAAAAAACAATTTGCTTTTTAATTTTTATTTTATATTAAGTCACACAATTGATCAGTCAAATAATTTTTTTCCATAATATATTTTTAATTCTGTTGTTATAAAAAATAAAAAATGACTGAATTCATTTTTAATGATAATTTTTTAGAACATTGCAATCTGAGATCAATTAATCACTTATTGTTTAAGTTATTATTTTGTATTATTACAACAGCAATTATTATTGGTATTGAAATGTGAATGTTATGTATTATAWTTTTAAATTGATATTACATATAAACTTATAATTTCTGGAATATTAATATTTTCTTTTACAAATTATTTTTGTATACAATTATAATATAAGATATATTTAAAGTTAATTTTTCATTTAAAGCTATCTAATTAATTATAAACTATAATTTTTAGAACCATTGTTGAAAACACTCGATAATTCAGCTGATATATTCAATGCATTGTCTAATATACCTGGAAATATATCCAATATCAAAGAATTATTTCAAGTGAATATCAATTTATAAATTGTTTACATATTATTATTATTATTTTTCTTTTTTTGTTAAAATTGACTATAAATTACTCAGGTGTGTTTTGAAGTATGCCCAGAAATTACTGATGAAAAAATTGAAGCTTATCGGAGACGATATTTAGGATATTTAATGGCTGATGGAGGAGCTTTAGTTCCAAACATAAATTCTTCAACAAATCTTCCCAAACAACATCTTAATAGGTTTGAAATTATTTTTATTTAAATAAGTTATACATGTTTTTGATTTTGTTAACTTATATTGTTACTACAGAAGACAAATTCGAAAATCCAAATCTTTAATGCAAGTATTGCTTTTTGGTGATGACATTAATGAAGATAACTCTAAGGTTATATTAAAATGCAAAAATATTCGTCAAACTGGTTTGTCAAAATCATAAATATTAATAGTATATAATTAAATATTTGGTTGCAATATACTCACTAATAATTACAATTAAAATTTTTCTTTAGAATTTTTAGTTGACTTAAGAGAAGCAATAATGCAAGTAGCTCGTCATTTTGTGTTTGTTGATCCTAAACTTAGCAATCTCTCTTTAAAACCTGACTATACTAAAGAAAGTCACTCAAAAGATTTAGAAACATATGCAAATGTATCAAGAAATAAAAAAAGGAGAGCTAAAGCGCTTTTAGGTAAATGTTTATTTTATTATTCAATAAAAATATTTTAGATATTGATAGCTTGTCTTACCTCCCACAAAAAAAAAAATAAAATAAAATACAAAAATTCTTACAGACATGAGATTGATATTTACTTTAACTTTAAGCTATATCAAAAATAAAATAATTACATTTGAAATAGTTATAGTTAAACATTATATTTATGTTTATGACTTCTGGAATTTGTATGCTATTGTTTTTTTAGAGTACTGTAAATAGCTAACAGGGTAAAATTCATATCTAATTTAGGATATTATATAGAATTTTAATCCAAAATTGTATTTTTTTATAATTCAAGGGTTTTTACATATAAGATTACATTATCCAGATTGTAGTGTTTTTTCTTCTTACTATTCTGAAAAATTGTATTGTAGCAAATGACACATAATTTTTATTTAATGCCTCAGATGATATTCTTAGCCTTAAATTTGATAATCATCAATATGCTCTAATATTCAATTTAGACTTTAGTAGTATTAAACTGATCATGTAATTTCACAGTGGACCACCAACTGGGCCAGGATAGCTCATGCCCCCATACCCACTATTTACATTATATACATCATTATAATTTTCTTTTAATTTTAGATTTTGAAAGACACGATGATGATGAATTAGGATTTCGAAAAAATGATATAATTACGATTATTAGCCGTAAAGATGAACATTGTTGKGTTGGAGAATTAAATGGTCTAAGAGGTAAGTTAGTTATAAATAATATAAAATAATTTATAAAATTTAAAAAACATGCAACATACACAACAGGATGGTTTCCTGCAAAATTTGTTGAACTTTTGGATGAAAGAAGTAAACAATACAGTATAGCTGGTGATGATTCAATATCAGAAACAATTACAGATTTAGTTAGAGGAACTCTTTGTCCAGCTATTAAACAGGTTCTTGAACATGGAATGAAACGACCGTCATTTTTGGGTGAACAAATATTTTGTATTGATTGCTCTTGCTTAAACTTGATACGTATATTAATAATTTATTACCCGATTATTAAAATACATTATTATACATACTTCTCTTTAGAGTGTTAGAGTCAGTTTTATTCCAATTTTCTACAATTCTATGAAATTTGAAAATTTTACTTTTTACTTTAACTATTATACTTATCCACTAATTTAGTATCCGATACCTATTAAATGGGGATGGTCAACACCATCATGGAAAATGACTACAACTACAGTAAACTCTCACACCTCATTGATATGTTGAGTATTAATAAATTTTTATTTATCTGAAAGATGAGAAAAGATCAAATCCAGAATTTTTATTTTACTTTAAATAGTGCTAGAAAAATAGGTAACAAATATTGTGCATTATTCAAATGTGTATCTTAGCTACTAAAATTATAATTTTTAAAATCAAGCTTTGACTCAAAATATTTTCTTTTTTAAATGAAAAAAAAATTAACAAAATCCAACTATTTTATAGGATGTGAACGTTTATCCTGTAAGACTTATTTTTTTTACTTAGAATGCACCAAATTCAATGCCCTTGTCAAATTGTAATTTTATGTACATAAAAGTTGTAATTAAATCATAAATATTGATTAATAATTAAATATAAATTTACCTAGGTGGTCCATGTCATCCATGGTTATTTATTGAAGAAGCAGCAATGACTGAAGTTGAAAGGGATTATAGTTCTGTATATAGTAGATTAATGTTATGTAAGACATATAGGTTAGATGAAGATGGCAAAGTATTAACCCCTGAAGAAGTAATTATGTTTTATTTTATTGATAAATAATTAATTGGCCATAATGTTTAGGTTAATCATCTATACTTTAAAATAATTATCTAATTAACATTTTTAAATAATTCATAACAATAACTTAAAATGTTTATATTTAGCTTTTATATAGATGTATTCAATGTATAAATCAAAGTCATGATGCTGCTGGTTGTCAGATGGATGTAAAATTAAGAAGTCTTGTTTGTCTTGGTCTCAATGAACAAGCATTACATTTGTGGTTAGAGCTGTTGTGTTGCTCTGATCAAGTAGTTAAGAAATGGTAATGAATTTAATTATTTAAAATTAAAAATGTTTTTAATAATTATTTTATACATTTAGGTATCAGCCATGGAGTTTTGTTTGCAGTCCAGGATGGGTGCAAGTGAAATGTGAGTTAAGAGTTTTATCTCAATTTCCATTTAATTTAAATCCAGATTGGGAACTACCTCCAAAAAAAGAAAATACTCAGACATTAAAAGCTGGCGTTAGAGATATGCTGGTAAAACATCACTTATTTAGTTGGGATCTTTAACAGTATTTAATTCTACTGTATGGTGAATACATATAATAATATGTATTTTAAGTTCTAAAATAATTTTCATTTGTATTCTTTATAACTAGGTATTTACTTGTTTATTGTTGTTTTTCTTATTTATTTCACTGAATCTTTAATTTGTGTGGCTGTGAATTTTAATTACAAATATTATTATTATGCATTTATATATCTATCTGTGTTTATGTTTTTAAGGTTTTTAATTTTAAAATGTATACATAAATGAATACATTACAAAATATAATATTCTCATCATTATATTGACTATTGAATGAAATAGGTTAATCTTTAGAAAAATTTAATTGTTTACAGTTAGTTGCAATACACAACMTAACTTAAATCTTGATAAATATTTTTTTTACTATCCAATTATAAGAGAAAGAACTATATATATGAGTAAAGGTAGGGTTTTCTGTGGGCCTTATTATTTTAAAGGGTTTATAGTAACATTTTGAATTATTAAAAAAAAAGTTATTTGTACCTATTATTTATAGATATATAAATTACAATGCATTAGTGTAACAGTTGAAGTAAACTTATTGAATAAGTGACTTATTTAGTTGTATTTTACTACTGACTATAATACCTGATGACGAGATCAGTAGAAGACATATTATTATTGTGATACTAGGCAATAAAATGCCTAAAACCGGTTCTGGATCAATGTGTGTAATGTTTAAAATTTACATTTAGGAATAATACGAATTATCCAATATTTTAAAAATTATAATGTTCATTAAAATGAAGTGTATTAATGTAATATTTAAATGTTTATATGTCGGCACAAGAAATGCATGATTCACGTGGCCTTCAAAGCCGTAGCTTGCAGTTGACATGTGTCCGAAACAATTACAAGATTTTTTAACTATAGATAACAAACAAATTTTATTGTTTCATCAAATATTAATTTTTATTGATATTTAAACAATGTGTTAATCTGTAAGCAACGGAATAAAAAAAATGCATGAGCATCACATAGCATACTAAATATACTTTTAGAAATGATATAATAAAAAAAAAAAACTCAAATTTTTCCATTTTCAAATAATTCATTTATTTACATACAACAAAAAAAACCCAACTTAATTTGTTTAACTAAACATTAGGCAACGTTTTTCTGTTAACAAAATAATATAATAGCTTTAAAACAATGAACAATTAAATTATCACCCTGCGATTGAAATTTCATTACCTACATTATCCTATATACTCATTGAAAAGTTAAAAACATATTTTCATAGAGGCCTCTATATACAATTTATTTTTACACTGAAACCTTGTAGTTTTAGTTTATATTCAAATATAATTTCAAAATATTAATCTACAATTCATAATATACAACATAGAGGCCAAATTATTAATTCAATTTTAATTTCTTTCATATAATTTTTTCGTGCTAGAACATTTGTATGATTATTTTAAAAATATATTTTATGAGACATTATTTATCCAAATTCTAGATGATTAAATGAAGCACAAAATTAACTTGATTGAAACCTAGATATCATGTTTATCACAGTTTAAAAGCATTCTCAGTAAAACAACAACATTTAACCAATACATCGAGATTTCAATCTTACAAATTTTTTTTTAAATAAATTGAATTACTAATAAAATATAATTGATTATAATATTATATATGACATATAATTTTCTAATAACAATACAAATTTATAGAATTGAGATCTAATTTAGCTTAGTTTTTGAAAGTATGCTTTGAGTATAAAATATAAATAAATATGACTGAACATCAAAAATTTCTGTTTAGTATCAGGTTTAAATTTAAATAAGATTAATTAAGTTTTGTCTGTCTGATAGATAAAAAAAATTCCAATAAATTTGTATCCAATATTAAGTTTGTTAAATAAATATTATTTAATGTATAAGTGATATTAATTATTAATGTATAAGAATATTAATATTGTATTAGAATAATATATAAATTAATAAATATAATACTATACATATTATTAAATTTAGTCTCCATATATCACCATACTTCTACATGAACCATTACATTTTAACTTAATAGAACAGTTTAATCACAATGATTAAACATTTATATTCTCTCACTATTAAGTCTAATTTTGAATGACTAGCATCTAAATGACGGTAAAAGGCACTTGGATATAACAAAAATAAAATAAACAATATGCAGGTTCATGGAACATTAATAGATGAAAGAAAAAAATTATCACAGTTCACTAATTCCATACATTTATACACTGCAAAAAAAAATTTAACAACTGAAACTCAAATGTATATCTAATATATATATAACCATWTATATGGTTTCATACTAAAAATAGACAATAATATACTAACTTTTTTTTAAAGAGGCTGTATCACAGTAAATTTAACAATCATAACCTTTTACAGTGGTCGGTAATAATTTACATAATATTAATTTATCACAGAAGTAAAAAAAAAAATTAAGTTATTGTTATACCGTCAACAAACTATATGGAGACATTATAATAAGCCTACAGTGCTGTTCTCCATAAAAAAAATTACATAAGCAGGCTATAATAATCATGTAAACAATATTGGATTAAACATTGGTAACTTAAACTGATATATCATTGGTAATCTATTTTATAATCTAAAGGTATGATAAAATATTATATTAATAAATAACATTGAAAATAAATACAAATAAACATATTTGAAAACAATAATTTTGTGTGAAACAGGTCACCAAATTAGCTTTATAGCCTAGTTTTATCAATCTAAATCTAGATGTATCTTTGAAGTAAAATATAACATTTATTTTTGAACCAACATACTTTTTAAGTATGTGATATATGTTTATTAACAGTTATAATAGTTTATTATAATATAAAGATAAAATTATAAATGTCTTAAAATTTAATTAAGACACCAAAGACAATTATATTATTTTTTCAACTAAACATTTTAATACTCTATTGACTAATATATAATATGCTTGTAATTTACCTGTGGTATGGTTGAATATTTCCAAAGCAAGTTTATACTTTATATTTAAAATGGACCATCTTACATTATTTTTCTATTATCATTTCAACAACAGCATATAAATTTTAACAATACATAACAATAACAATCAAACACTCACACAATAAAAATAACAGGTCAACGATTAATATGGATATAACTAGAAGAAAAAATTAACTAAAGGGTAACAACAATAAATTAAATAATAACAATAAAAGTATCATACGTATTTTTTTGGGTCAAGTTGATGGAAGCTTGTTTACATTATGTGAAGAATCCACTGTAGATGAGTTGTCCGTAGTTGTATTATTATTGTTGGGACGTGGATGTCTATAAGATACATGTTTCCTTAATGCATCCCTGGATCGAGAAACATGACTACACACTGAACAAGCATACTGTGCATTTTGATGGGTTTCCATATGAACGCGCAAATTGTAATGATTACTTAGCTGTTTACCACATATGAAACACATTGTATACAGCTTGGATACAGGTGTTCGAGATTTAATATTATCTGACTGTGAACCCTGTACAACTGGACCTATAAACCGTACATAGTGTATTAGGTAGTTGAGTAGTTAACACAATAAAAATATTTATATGAATATACGGTATAATGGCASCTGAACAATTTCTAAATATTAAAAACCACACCCACATGGCCACATGTGTTGTATCTGTCTTACAAGTGCATAACATATCAAATCGTATGCTTAGTAGACCACGTTTAACTCCATTAGTTTAAAATTTAGAGCAAATAGACTTCTCATAAAAACTAAAGGTAACATTGCTATCTAGGGTATCTCATTGGCTTTGTATTATATTTTTATTTTAAAGAGAGTTATAAATATTTTAAACTTGTAAATTGTTTGTATATTTTAAAATACTCATAACTCACTTTAAAATAAAAATATAATAATAAGTCTATGATATGCTCTAGATAATAATCTTGCCTTCAATTTTAATAAGAGGTCAATTCACTATAAATTTTAAACAAATGGAACTAAATGTGATCTGCTGAGAGTAAAATTTGGTATTTTACGTACTTGTAAGACGGAGACAACACATGTGGGTGTAGTGTCCTCTTAATGACTTTTCAATAAATAATATTTGTATTATGTACAAATACTTATTTACTATAAATTATAATACCTATAACAAATTGATTTRAAACATATTCTTTCTGTTTTAACTAGACCCATTTAAAATCCATTAATAAAATGTACCCTAGTCAGACGACTTCTTTGCAAAACTATAATGTTTCAGCGTACCAGTTTAGTATGATAAAAAATATTACTGGAAATGTTATCACGGCATGACTATTAAGTACATTGTTAAGTATTAATCCTGTTAATTCTATTATATTTTATAAAATACTTAAAACTACATATTACATAAGTACATAATTCATACATACCTTGAACTAAATCTGTAGGTGTTGGAGCCTCTTCGCCGTAAGAAACATTTATTTCTGATGTGGACGGTTTATGGTCAACAGTCGTAGCTAAGTTTACAGTATCATCTTGATTATCATTTTCTGGAACACGCTTACTTAGATCTTGAGCAACATCTAAATCGGCAAAAACTTCAGTTTCACTTAATGTCGGTCTTGACATAACCCTGTTAAAGGATTCTGATTCTTCAACTCGTGGTCTTTTCCATTTAGAAGATTTCTCAAATGTGCCAGATGAATAACCAGGTACCTAATAAATAGTTGTAAAATTTGTCTAAGATATAATCATTAAATTTAATTACAAATTAAGATTTAAGTTTTGGTGTAAGAATTCATTATTAATATAGATTACAGTATATTATTTTACATGTAAAATATAATATAATTGTTATTATATTATCATATATGTTGAAGATTTTTTTTAACTATGTTCTACCAGTTTGTAATTACTCATTTTAAATACATAATATTTATATGTAAAGACCAGATTATCGAGCAATTGCATTTTTTTATGGAAAAAATTTGAAAAAATGAAATTCTGAATTCTAAATAAACAAGCTACAAATCAAGAGATGTAGATTAAGATTAAAGGAAGTTTTTTTGTAGCACAAAATTTCACACTGAGTTTTTTATAAAAATGTACTAAATAGTACTTTTGTACAAATATTTTTGTATTATTTTTATCATTAATATATTATATTGTTATATGAAGTATTGAACTTTTATATAATATAACTTTTTTTTTATTGATCTAAAATACATCGAAAATTAGGCCATTAGTAAAAGATTTATTTTTATTTTTTGGTTACGTTGTTAGTATATTAAATATTTACATTTTTTACATTAAATTAAATTGTACAATTCTGTTTTTTTTTTTAAGAATAATATAATAATTTATATATAATATGACATTATTAAGATAATGACTACTACTATAGTCGATAGATTATCGATTACATGTACACATACAGTACTACAGCCTATTCGCAGCAGCCAGAAATTTTAATCAAATATTGTAGTAAGTTATATAACTTATTATCAGTTTATTATTATTTTATTTAAATTAAATACATTTTTTTTTAATTTTATATTTTTATATAATAGTTAATGCCAGCCAATAAAATAATAAGATTATATAAAAAAATATTAATGAAAATAAAATTTGAAATGTATAATGAAAATTTTGTTTTTGCATGAGTTTGCACATTTTAACATTTTAATTGCACGTTTTTAAGTATTAGCAGCACAAAAATCTGGTCTTTATTTATATGACATTAAATAAATATATACATATTATTTTAATTTTCAAACGAATTTTGGATATTATTTATTTTTAGCTGATAAAATGAAAAATAATTTTAAAGAGAAAATAATGAAAAACATTTTTATTTTTCTCATAAATATACTTAGCATCTGAAAATAAAAACTAGTAAAATTCTGTTTTTAATTTTTTTTTCAGCTATAAGAAATTTAATTAATTTATTAAATAAAATTATTATAGCAAGGTAATAACAAATAATTGTTAAAATTAAGTAGKTAATCAATGAAACTTATAACTTTAAAAATCAATACCTACATTAGAAAACTCAGCCAAGCCTTTAATATGTAATGAATCAGCCATGGAAAGCATGCTAGCTAGTTGATGTTCATAAACATTTACTTCACCACTGTACATAAATGTGACTAGAGCACAGAGATCAGTAAATTCAACGCCAGGCAAAACAATCACTGGATGATGACTTGCTCCTAATTCCTTCAATAAAGATAATAATTGTATCATCAATAAAATAAATAAATATATATAATATTATAGGTATTATATAAATTAAGAATACTATATTCACTTAAATTATCAAGCTACAAGTGATTAATTTCATAAGAATGTTATTTAGCAATTATTAAGTAATTAAATAATTAATATGGTTTAAATTTTAAATGATAAAATTCAGAATTTACACTTCAAAATATATTAAAACAGAAAAAAATTCTTGATTTCAGTCTTAAAAATGTGACATAGCAATAAAAATATTTACAAATTGTTTAACATTTGTGTACTTTTATCTCTCTAAATTCCTCAGAAAGTCAGAAATATATAAATATAATAAATTTGAGTTCAATGATACATTATTAAAATTGTTTAAGTAACTAATAAAAAATAAGTTAGGAAATTTCACTCTGTAAGCATGTTAAATTCCAAGTCTTTAAATTTATTTTAATATGATAAATAAGGTAATAAACTATAATTCTATGTAAAAATTAAAACAAATTTGGTAACCTTTGTATTTTGGTATCTCTGTTTTTAATATTAGCTAGTATGAATCTTTAATAAATGCTCAAATACTCTAATTTTGATATTTTTTAATACTGGCTAGAGGCTGGTATAACTGTACTCTGAATAATACCGTTATAAAACCCATACCTGCATGCGTTGTCTCTTTCTTACAAACGTAAAACATAGCAAAAACTGTACTTGTGCGGGACAACTATTCTCTCTCAGTATTTATAGTAGAATTATCAAAATTCCACAATACATAGGTAAGAACTTTATCTGTGTCATAGAGTCGTTATTTTTTTGATGGCACAAACCAATAATTAATTTTTAATAATTAAATAAAAAGAATAGAAAATAGTTTTTTTTTCTTAAGCTTATAACTTTAATTATATTTATGTTACCAAAACAATAACAACACTATGACACAGATAAAGTTCTTACCTATCTGTTGTGAAATTTTGATAATTGTACTATAAATACTGAGGGAGAACAGTTGTCCCGCGCAAGTATAGTTTTTGCTATGTTCGACATTAGTAAGACAGAGACAATGCATGAGGGTGCGTCCTCTTAATACACACAATCATAGGTCAATTAATAATTCCTGTTGAATATTTGTAGGATATGAAAAAATCTTTAACTTTAATTTCTTAATTTTAAATAATGACTAATTGATGGTGCGAGCAAAGACAGTATCATACTAAATTACAAAAGATGAAATATATGAAACTTAGCAGAAGGGATAGGGTGTATCAATACGGAGAGAGTGTGAAAGTGGAAGGACGCATATTCTACAGAATACCACATTTTTTGACACTCTTTAAGCATTCTTGAGTTAAAGGTAGAGATAACAAGATGATTAGCAAACTAATACTATTTTGTAGCTGGAACCCTGATAAACTCTAAAGTCTAGATCAATATTTATAAATCTAAAAATTAAAATTTATATGACATTAATATGCCCTATCATCTTTTATAGCTCAGAAACAGGCACTAAGAAAAACAGAGGGAGTAAGATTAAACATTTTTGAAAGAAAAGTTCTAAGACGAATCTATGGACCATATTTTTATCCAAGATCCGGAGAATAGAAAATATAAACCAATTAGAACCTTCAAAACATGTTCCAAAAACCATGCATATCATGTGAAGCCGCGAAAAGAAGGTTAATGTGGACTAGATATGCCTGGAGAAAAAAAGACACAATGATAGCAGTAATTGAAGTGGAACCAAAAGGGAAACGTCCACGCCTTTGGTGATAACTGATAAGATTGTGTGAAAGGATACACGATTAAAGCAGTAGATCCAAGAGCAAACTGAAAAGAATATTTATTATATGGAATGGGCTTAAAAGCTGGACCCCTCCTACCACAAAAATAAAAATAAAAATATTCTAAATAATATTGTAGAAAAAATAACATATTTCTATAAAATAAACTTATAAGTAGAGGCAATAGAGTAATTAATTATAAATACTGGTATTTATAATCAATGGTAGAGATATTATAAATTAAAAATAAAATCTTTCAAATTAACTAAAAATGTCATTGAATCAATTCATTGTTTATAATAAAAATAATGAAAAATTAAAATGTTCTTACTTTTGTGAGTGCTTTAAATAACTGTTTGAAATAATCACTACATGCAGACAAAACAACACGATGAGCTTTAAGTGTTCTCAAACCAGCACATAAAGTAACATCAGTCAGATCATCATGATTTAAAAGCTGAGGCAGAGTTGACATAAGTGAACTTTGATAATTATGCCATCTAAGACAAAACTGTTGCGACTCCTCTGTACTCATTCTGTGGGTGTGTTTTACGTAACTGAAAATTATATTTATTTTAACAATTCAACAATGTACAAACACAACAGTTTTTATATTAATTTTTTTTTTCAAAATAATTTTACTGAAGATATTTCAACATGGTATTGGTYAGTTTCCAGAAGTGTATACATTTATTTGAAATGTATATAATAAATTACCTTAAATCTACTCTGTATGTTTACTTTGATAGACTTATAATTTTATTTTATTTAGTTAACAAACATTTTTTTAAATCTAGGTTAAGTTAATAGTCTAACATTAAACTAACATTATCTCTAAACTACTAAACTCTTTTTAATATTCATCTAACATAAGATTTTGATTTAACAATGATATATTTCATTTTTATCTAAAATAAAAATATAAGATTAATATTTTGAATACATTTTGTTATTTAATTAAGTATATATATTATGATTTTTTCAACCTAGAGTTTAAAAAATATTAGTTTAAATAGCAGCAACTAAAAAAAATAAAATAAAACTATAGGTCTACCAAGATAAACATACAAAACAGATAAAAGGTAGGTAATAAATTTGATAAGTTTCAAATAACATGATACACTTCTGGAATATTACCAATGCCATATTGAAACATCTTCAATACAATTAATTATCTCATTAAAGAAAAATACTATTTTAAAGATTAAAATAATTAAACAAAACACAGATAAAATCAATTGAACTGAAAACCTTGAACACTATAATCTAAACACAGAATGGTATAACTTTATATTGTATATATACTTAGTGTATCAATGTTTATACCTACCTACTTTAATAATGTGCTAAATATTAATACAATGTATTATATTTATATATACAATAGTAGGTAACAAATAACAATACTTAAGAATTAAAAATAAAATATATAAATATTAAAGTTTATATCCTAAAAAAAAATCTATAATTTCTAATATAATTTTAAGAATGTGTTTATGGCTATTTAATACTATTTGTATACTTCTATCTATCACAACTGAAATGGGATATATCTCAATATGCAGTCTACCGCCATTTTAAGTGGTAATTGGAAAAAAGTCCACATAAATAAACCCCTGGATAAGAAGTCCTCAGGAAAAAAAGATAATGAACAAAAAAGTAATAACTATAATAAAAATTGTATATAGTTTTTACAAATATTTTGAATTAATTAAGATATTATTAAGTATACATGGTAATGATAAATGAAAAAAATAAATTACTATTCATAATTTATTACATGTTACATGTATTGTATATTGGTTAGATAGACACGCTTAAAAACAGTCTAACTTCTTAACATAAGTCAGTCAAAACCATAAAATCAGAAATATTATGTCTATGGTAAACATAAAATAAGGTTTTTAGATTCTGAGTAGTACAATAAATGTAATGATTTTAAATGGTTATGAGATTTTTTTAAACTGAACAATTCAGTTATAAATAATAGTAATATAAATGTTTTTTTCACGTTTTAATCTATAAAAAAATAAATATTTTTACTTTTATTTTGATAAACATTTATTTCATGTATAACTACAGCGTTTGAACAATTTAAAATAAAAGGCACATACTATACTTCTATTATTATTACGGTAGATTACACATTTTTTTTGTAGATCACTTATTGGAAGATGATCATAAGGTCGAAGATATTAGATAGGTGCTATTATATTCCAGATATGGTTAATTTATCTATGTATTATAAAATAATTCATAACTTAAGTTTAAATCCCTTAAAGTTAAAAATTTGAAGGTACATACTTAATAGAATTCTTTAAGATATGAATATTTAATTATAGCTTTTTAATGATAACTTACTAACATGCCTAAACTCAATCATCAAATAATTTAAAAGTAAAATCTAAATGCATAATAACCCAAAATCATTAAATAATCTGACTGTATTCAAAATAATACATAACCCTTTAAAAATTTAAAAAAATCTTAATTACAATACAAAGTACTCAAATATAAAACTATATTATTATAATTATAACATTATACAAAAAAAAGTTTAAGAATATATATTTATTAAATATTTGTGATAAATAAAATCAATATACTATAATGTTATTCAAAGTATACCTTAGAATTGTTAAAATTAGTTTAACAAGAAAGATAATCCAGAAATTGTACCATAAAACAGTCAAAATAAGTAAGGTATGATATGACATAGAGATTTAATAAATTTCCTTATATAACAATATTATGAGAATTACTTTCAGAATGATTAGTAAACAGTAAAACTTTTTTCGCAATTATCTAATCAAGTTTTATTGGTAAAAAATTATTTAAATTAAATAAATGTATTTTTTGTTCAACAGCTAAATTACTTTAAACAGGAATAAACAATACTTAAACATAATTTATGTTCAACACAAATAGACAATATAGGCAAGCATAAAAAAAATTCTTACCTTGATATTAAAAGACTTTAAAATRAATATTATAAATTAAAACAAAGAAATTAAAATATTGTATGACAAAAAAACTAAGATAATGAGCACCCAGAAAATTTGAATTTGATCCAGCCCAATCTAAAATTATAACTCTGGATATGCTGGAAATAGGATTTTTGGATAACAGCCAATCAGAACAAATATTTTATCTTGACTATACGGAAATGTTRAATTTTTTAACTGGTTCATGTTCATACWCATGAATCATCTTACCTTTATTTCGACCGATATATTTTACWAGTTTTGTTTGCAAAACCCGGTATTTAATTTGGATGTAAAATAAAAACGAAAACTTACTTTTTTGGTAAATTAAAACAAAACTTCAATCAAAATTTACTAGCACTTGCACAATTTTTTTTATTTTTTAGAATTTTTTTTTTCAAGTGCACTTGGAGTTGTTGATAAGGTTAAAGAAAAACACGTCACGTGATAAAAAAACAGCTGCTTTTTMATTTACATATAATTGCATTTCATTGCGAAAATAGCRGGAAGATGTTTTTAGAATGTTATGATAAAATGTATTTAAAAAATTGCTGAAAATAAAATGAATAATTATGTAGCATGTAGCCATGTATATATATTGTATATTATATTCTGTGCGATAACATTTTTCAAGAATCGTTTGACATTATAAACTACATGTCCTACATTAGGAGAGATGTTACAGCTTTTGATATTTATTTATTTAATTAATTAAGATATGTAATGTTCTCCTTTTTAAAATCATGGTCTTGATGTTCTGCTATTGTCTTGCATTCACGAACAATTAAAATATTAATTGATTTTTTTTCAGCAGTTAAATTATAAGTTATAACTAAATACTTTTTTAAATATTTTATTATTTTAAATTTAAAATAAATTTAACATAAATAGCATATTAATATACATTATTTATTGTAAGGCGTAAGTAAAATTTAAGATCATGAAATAAACATATATAATTTATTCATTTCATGAAATGGAARCTTTTATTTTACTCTTTGTGCACATCATGTATTTTTAATTAATTAGATCAATAGGTATTCGTGAAAATCGAAATAATATAATATATTGACACGAGTTAACTAACAAATTCTCGTTCATTATTACTCTGAAGTATGTTAGGATCCCCAWATGTAAGAACATTAAGAACAATGGTGAATAATTCGTTTGCCACTTTTTTTTGTTTTATTAAGAAAGACAATTTACAATCTGTAGGTACACAATAATTACAATAAGCAATAAGCAAATTAGATATAAAAAAAAAAAGAATAAGTAATATGAATATTATCGTGATGAGGAAAAAACTCAATGGTAACACCTCCTTTAATATAATTTAAAAGGCGTCTACGCCATTTACGCTTTAGTCTGCGTGGTGGGTTTTTTTGGAAGGGTGAAAGTAGACATGTGTGATATCAAAGTATAAGTATTGCTATGTGCAGAGACGTAACTAGAAGCATTAAATTGAGTGGGCTAAAGCCCATAGCTTAAATTTTTAACATGGGGAATGGGTTATGGAACTACTCCCTCACCCATAGGCCATAATAAACAAAAAAATATACTAAATTATGAATACCAAAATTTTCAATAAAGAGGTAAAATTTAAAATATTCAATAGCAAAGTACATTTATTATAAAATGATTGTGTTCTATTGCGATTTATGTAAACAAAAATGTATTATTTCAAGTATTTCAACAATTTGCTTGTTTTCAATTCATATTTCATATTAGATAGGCTTGAGAGGCTAAAGGGTGGGCTAAGCCCACCCAAGCCCCCCCCCTATTTACGTCTATGGCTATGTGTGCTTAAATTTTGATGGAAATGTTTGTACATTGTTTTGGCCAGTTCAGTGGTGATTGTTATTTTTAAGTCATTGTCTAAGGTAAAGTTTGAAACGTAGGTATACCAGGCGGCTTTGGTCACTAACCTTAGCGCAGTTGATTGAAAAGCCTGAATTGGCCTGATGTTCGAGGGCTTGGCCGGACCCCAGATTGCTATTCCGTAAGACCAGACCGGTCTTATGATTGACTTATGTATAATAAGTTTTGTTTTGGTGTTATATTTTGAAGTYGAGGAGTAGTTGGAGGAAATTAAGTCTATTGTTCGCTGATTTTCTTTTAGAAAGGGTGAGGCAGGTTAGTCTTTTATCAAGACAAGTGAAGTGTTAACTATACTTTAATTCGGTTTGGACAGGGATGATGACGTTGTTCACGATTAATAAAGGGCACTCACAGGAAGATTGTTTTAACGTGAAAGTAACTTGCACAGATTTATCTGTATTTATTTTAATTTTCCATTTTTTGGCCCATCCGTCGATTTTATTAGCATGATCCTAAAATGCAGCTGAAGCTAGAATAGGATTTAAACTGGAGGAAAGAATAGCTGTGTCATAAGCGTATGTTGCAAGAAGGGAGTTATCTACTATAATGAGGGTGAGGGATATCTGCTGTCAATACATTATATAGACCAGGGGATAAATCGCTACCCTGCGGGATAGTCACTTATAATAAAAATCGTGTATTGTGGTCCTGATGATTCATGGTTCATTTATATTTACCATTRCAGGCATTGACTGGAAATCGACTAAATTGATTTGGCCCCTTTCATTAAAATCTTTAGTAATAATTGGTTTGATGACTAGTTTTATGTTTGCTTGTTGTTTGGAATAAATTATGAATCGCGGAAAAAAAAGTCCCACACTAGGAAAAATTTCAAAAATAAGTGCTGACATAAAACGTCCCACCTTTAATAATTTAGACTTTATTTTAATTGCTACCTTTTATTTGTGTACCTAACAAGTGGCAGTCAAGCAAATACTGATAATCGTTTCGATATAGTTGATATAATAATAATAAATATATATAATAATAATCGATATAATGATAAAATATTGTAATAATTATAATACAGCACAATAAGAAATATAACGCCGATAATTTGAGTGGAAAGTCCTAGCTAGGCTAGCTATGATAAAATTGTTATCGATAATAACTTGTCAGTTGTGCTGTATAATTTATTATTTATGTACAGTCGGCAGTTTGCCCAAAGYCTCTTGTTAATCACAACAATTTTCATTAATTTTATGAACAAATTGTGAAAAATGCTCTAAAAACTAAGAAAATATACATAATAAAATAAAATATTATTATTATAGTATATTTTAATCACCCAAATCGCATTTTACTTACGGACCAACGTTTCAAAACAACAGAAAAAAGAATCTTTTGCATCAAAATCAGAGCCTTAGTTATTAAAATGGTAGCGATAACAAACATATATTAACAAGCATTTTATACATTACACGGTAAAATAAAAAACACGGCAATAAAACGTATTTCGGTAAATTTATCACTTAACTTTTTTCCAGGATTTTTTAATTTTTTTTATCGGGACAATTTTTTTCCGTATAGGTACCGGAATTAGGTACATATTGCACATACAGACAAAACAATTTTCTTTTGCTGGTCTTAGAATTTTGAATTATGACCCACTTATATACTACGTTTATATAATGGCATTAAAACGATCGCTGGTTTTAGACTGGTATAGTGGTATGTAATAATTTAAATGTAGACATTCCAAGTAGGATTTTCGTTTGAGCCTGCTTTATTTATAGAACTACCCAAAAAACAAAATGTATRAATATAAGGAAGTCAATAACGGTATGAAAATAATAAATACAATGCGAAATACTCACGCGATATAAAGAATACAATTCGTGGTAGGTATCTACCTAGTAAGTAAAACTCAAGTGCKTTGAAAACGAATATGCTCATTTATATTCAGTAGTTAATTTTTTATTTCATATAATTTAATATTTGCGCATCTATGACTAGAGCCACTAGAGGTATGGCCAAATTGTACTTATTTTAGTCGAATTTCGCTTGGGTTTAAAAAAGGCATTAAAAAATTAATTTTCGAACTGCACTCTGGTAAAAGCAGGTGTAGTGATCGAACTGCACTTGGACTCAAAAAATGTAATTATTGTCATTTTTATAATTTTTTTTTATTTCGATCATTTTTTGTAGTAATTACAAACTGCATTCAACAATTCTAATCTGGAAATACAATTTTAAGTATATAATAACTCAATATATTTTTCAATGCTATTTTTTTCTGGTATCATGTTATTGATGGTTTTATGTCAGTGTTCTGCATTAAAATAAATACAAGTATCAATTTGTAATAGTATTAAAATATCAAGAAATACAAATATATTTGGATGTGGTGATGAAAATTGAAAATCATTTAAAGAACTTTTTAATGGGTTTTCATCATACACGTTCTAATCGTAACAAGTTTTCACATTTTTTCCATTTTAACTTTTGTTTGAACGAGTGCAGTTTTACCACTACCTGATTTCTACCAGAGTGCAATTCGACTATTACCTTTTTTCAGTCCAATCGCAATTCCGACCATTTATTTGTAGATAATAAGTGCAATTCGACTATCCGATAACTAGCAGTTAGCACTAGCAGTTTAGCACCAGGGWACATCCCCCAAAATCAATATTTTTTTTATTGAGAAATTGCTCAATTTACAATCTATAAAAATGAGCATAATAAGTGAAATAAACTAATATAATATGAACATTGGCTTGAATTACTTGAGGAGGGAAACCATTTAGCAGCAGTAYCTCTTACTTTGATGGGAAACTGTCTAAAAATCAACTTTAGGGAAGACGGAGGTTAGGTGGGTACTAAATGCAAGTTATTGATGAAGTCAATTTTTCAGAGGTTTTGAGCTGGACATATTGTAACATAGCCATTACATTTAAAAATATTATACCTTGTGTTCAATTTTAAAGGTAACAGGAAATATTTCGATCGCATGACCTTGAATTTGATTCGAGGTTTTTATACTGCAAGTAGGACTTATAAATACATCTGTTTTTGATAAATTCTAATTGTTAATAATTTTTATCTGCGCATGCGTAGTAAAATAAAAATTTCTTAAACAGAAACCACTATTTTGAAGACCGGATTTCGATTGCTTTATTTTTTCTGAACAACTTTGATTTTTACAGTTTGTTGATATCTTCAAAATTGCCATTTTTATAACGGTCGAAAGTTTTAAATCAGTTAATTCCTAAATATATAGCATTTTTCAACGCTCAATCACATTTATAGGTATTTTTATAACAATTTATTTTTATTAAAACTACTAAATTATCTACTACTATATTATCTTAGTTTGTTTTTGATAGTGTTATAATGAATAATGTTAGATTATTAACCATGTATGAATACGAAATGATAGCTTTCTAAAATTGACTGTTAAAGTGTTAACTGTTAAGAGTCAAACGTTTTTCGTAAGTCGTGATATCCGGATAGATATCATCCACCACACAATTATTTTTTACGTATAGTATTAAATCTTAGAGAAAAAGGAGAACTTCCAGCTATTGCGAACCGCCGCGCCGCCGTAATATGAGACCGCGATTTCATGATGATCCTAATGAAATGAAGAATTACAGGTAGCATATACATTCAAATCAATCCTCGTTCTTCTGTTATAAATTTGGCTAGAGAAGTCGCCAGTCGGTGTCTCTGTGGGGAAAGCACATTCAATTTTAAAAAAAAAAACATAAATTTCACGCGTATCGACCTACCGTGATACAACATTTAATACACGGTGTTTCCGATAGAAGACTTACATTTATTGCATGGTTGGTGGTAAAAATTCAAGAACAACCACTATTTTTAAATTACGTTTGTTGGACTGATGAATCAAAATTCACTAATATAATGGTTAAATGGTGTGATCATTGATCAACAAACAAAATAACCGCTATTGGTCGGATAATAATCCTTATTGGACAAATGATTCAAACTTTCAGCAAGTGTGGGGAACGAATGTCTGGTGTGGGGCGTGGGCTTTTATGTGGTAGATTTCTATAGGTCCTTATACTTTTACAGTTTTACGACGGTAATCTGACAGGAAGGAGGTACCTAGATTTTTTGTCGAACACACTACCATCATTTTTGGATGAATTCAACTCAGATACCCGCATGAATTTATTTTTCCAGCAAGATGGGGCACCCGCCCATAATGCAATAATTGATCAAGAATACCTTAACCAAACATTTGGCCAAAAACAAAATAATCATTGCGTGTAGTGAACTCACCGAASACCAAATAATAACAGCTACACAAAGAGAACTATACTACGACGATTGGAAGCATACGTTGAAAATAATGGCAATTGGCAATAACTACTTTGAACAGTTCATTGAATTATAAACTATCGAATACATTATAATGATATTTTTTTATAAATTCGATGTAATAATAAATACACAGTGTATTTCAATAAAAATCAATTGTTATAATAATAACTATAATATAATAATTAAGATAGAGCGTTGAAAAATGCGATATTTGGGAATTAACTGATTTAAAATTTTCGACCGTTATAAAAATGGCAATTTTGAAGATATCAACTAACTGTAAAGATCAAAGTTGTTCAGAAAAAATAAAGCAATCGAAATCCGGTCTTCAAAATAGTGGTTCCTATTTAAGAAATTTTTATTTTACTGCGCATGCGCTGATAAAAATAATTAAAAGTTAGAATTTATCAAAAACAGATGTATTTAYAAGTCCTATTAGCAGTATAAAAAACCCGTATAAAATTCAGGGTCATGCGATCGAAATATTTCCTGTTACCTTTAAAATTGAACACACTGTATATATAGACGTATTGTTCTTTAACACCATACGAGCCTATGCGATAACAATATTTTTCCTTCGGCTTTTAAACATTAAAACGATTTATCAATTCTTTTAGATTCTGAACAAAGTGATGAATGCATTTTTTTGTTTTTACCTCATAACATAATATTTTTTAACCCTTCSACACAGATGATAACCTAACCACAAATAMTCAAAGAGACAAAAATAAAAAGTAAGCCAACTAGCCTCGGTCTTCCTTCCCACTATAGATCTGGTGTTGATCGTCAGGTTCTATAAAGGTATTTGATAATTWTGATTAAAATTTAGATTTTCGACTGATTTGCTAGATAACCGAGCTACATGTAAACCAGATTAGCTACAAGGAAATACATCGTACCTAATGAAATCCTTGTKAACTAGGTTGGAGGTGTAAATGCATGGACTTACACCGTTTTAAAGCATGAAAAAAACTTAAACCAATTTCTCTCAAAAACCGAAACCAGTGGCGTGCGCAGGGGGGGAAGATGGGGGGTATATTCGCCCATGGGCATTTTTTTTTAGTCTTCAAACATGACTGAATTTTGGATTTCTAATTTTTTTTTTTGTCAAATAATAAAGATAAAAGATTTAAAATAATAAATTTGTATTTATGACACCCCCCCCCCTCATACCAAATTCCTAGACACACCCCTGCCTAATGCCTATAGATACGCTGACATATATTATTTMAAAAGAAAAACTTAGAGTTGCATCCAATCTGCCCAACTTCCCAACCAGACAGGTAGACAAAAAATTAATTAGGTACCTATAGAACATTTGAGATATGATTAAATTTAAAGGTGTTTGAATAAAATATAAGCTCTTTTTACATGGGATTATGAGTTACTATAAAAAAATTGTTCAATGATTTTTTTTTTTTTAAAGCTTTTATTAATTAATAAAACAAATACATCATCATCAAGATTGTGAATTTATAAATTAGGTGAGGAATATGAAAAGGGTCAATGTCTATCTTTGCCCAACTCCTCTGAGTGACTGAATATTTACATTATGTATAATGATATATATTTGTATTTATTTATTTATTAAAGGAAGTTAAGATAAACAGGTCAAGAGTTATGACATTATTGCTATTTGTTTATTAATTCTTTGGCTGACTGGTATAATTCCTGGTGAGCATTGAGTGATAATAGTGCATTAGAATGGTAAGATAGACGGTTAATAGTTATTGAAACATTTGTAATAGACTTTAGATAAGTAATGTATAATACTTAATTTTATTAAATTTGTTTAAAGGGAGTCATTAAATGCAAATAAAAGAATTTGTAAGATGGTAGGAGTTAGTTATTGCATCTTCAACTGTAGGTAAGATATAATTTAATAAGAATTTTTAAAATAATAATGAGAACATTTGAAGGAGATTAGCCTGTATGAGGAAAGATAGTTTAAGGTTTAAGATTAAGAAAATGATATAATATCTACATAAAATAGGGAAATAAGATATTTAGATAATTAAGTTGAATTTTTGAGTAAGGAACATTTTAGTTTTTTTTACTAGGTATGTTTAATTAATTAGGAGTGATTAGGCCAAAATCTGTGGATATTTTAGGGAAAATGTACAACCAACGCTAGTTTTATTAATATTTAATACTAAAATAAAAATAAMTTTTAAATTTATATTACAATCATAATATAAGTAACAAATAATAGGTATTTTATCAATGATTAATTTAAGTCATTTTTTAGATTATTAAMATATTTTTACAGTCTTAATTAATTAATAGTAATTAATAAAAATTAAATTTAAAGTATATTTGTTTAAAAATAAATAGTTTAGGTAACTAACATAATATATKATTCATTWTTAAGTTAATAAATGAAAAAAATATTTTACCAAAATAAATTATAAAACACATATCTTGTATTAGTTTTTTGACACTTTTATASTACTACTTTTTCTGTTATGTAATTCAAACTCATAATTGCTATCAATTAATGAAGAATCTAAATTTGAATCAGGGAAACTCAATGGTAGTCTAGATCTAATRCCAAATGTAGTCGGGCGTAATGTTGGATCTGGTGATAACATTAAACACAACAAATCATACTAAAAAAAAAAATTGTGATAAACATTTTATAATTAACATATATTTTTTTAAATATATTTACTTACTTCATTTTTAAAATTTTTCAAAAAATGAGAAGGAAAAATATAATTTCTAAGTTGAGTTAATGTTTGGTACCTTTCCATTTCAGTAGTAAAAGGATTGAGCAATTCAAAGAATATAACTCCAAGGGAGTATATATCAACTTTATAATTATATGGCTTTCCAGATATCTGTAATATATTTTTWTAAATTATTAGGTATCGTTAAATTACTTTTACATTATTTACCTGTTCTGGACTCATATACAATTGGGTACCAACTCGATCAGTGTGTTGTTCATTTAACCATTTTTKTTTATTATTGTGTATAGTAATCCCTTCATCAGATTCTATCATTTCTGTAACTAAACCGAAATCACCTATTTTGATTTGGCCATCTAATGAAAAGAATATATTTGAAGGCTAAAATAAAATAAATTATACTAAATTATTAAATTAATAATCATATTATAATATAATATAGGCTTAATTTATATGGTTTAAAATAGAAACAAAATTTTGATAACCACGCCTAAATAAATTATTTTTAGTTATTCATCAGAATTATTGATCTATAAAAATGTCTAAAACATGAAGTCTCAGATAATGTAGATACAATTTCAAAATAAATATAAATATAACAATTTTAACACAATATGATGATTACTTACATAAGTTAAAATTAATTTAATAGGTAAATTAATTTGCATTGATTAAATTRAAAAACTTAAAAAAATTTTAAACTTTTAAAAAATTAATTGCTGAATAATAAAATATTACATCAGAAAAATTACTAAATAAATAAATAAATAAATTTTAAATTGTATACAATTTTCTGTTTCATATAAAATTATAGTCTTATTTGATAGTAAATACCAAAAGATACTAAATACTATAAATTAAACAAAATGTTATAGCTAATAACTAAAATAATCAATAATTTTTCATACTTTTAAATCCCTATGTATTAATCCTTGCAAATGAACATATTCAACAGCTTGTATAATTTGGCTAAAAATATTTAAAATATACTTCATATTTCGATTTTTAGTATTATCTTTTAACCATTCTCTTAAACTATTTTTATGACAGAGTTGCATTTGTATATATAAGTAATGTCTAGTTGCCTTTCGATCACTGTGAGCATTACTTGTTGTATCACACTCTGATTTATACCTCCGCCGTTTACTACCCTTAGTTAAGTTATCTGAACTCATGTCTAATATGCAATCTTCATTAGTGTCTGTTATTTTATTGTCAAAAACAATAAAAGATGAATCACTTTTATCATTATATGATCGTAATGCATGAGGGTTATTTAAAATGTCAGATAATTCTTCACTGCTTTCTGGAAGCATTATCATTGTTGACAAACTTTTTGCTCGAACATGATGTTTGTTTTGACAAAGATTAGTAACTTGTTTTTCACTAGTTGTTATTTTGCTACTCATGTCCATTTCACTAGAAAACAAACAATATTATAACAATATTACAAGTAAACATAGTATGATTATGTCAATTTCAAACAATTTAACTAATCTTAAGTATAAGACTAGGCTATTTATATACTCTGTTCAAAATATGAAATAATTAATTTTATTTTTATTTACCCAGA